AGATTTCTTTAGGCCCTTAACTTTATTATTCAGTTCTAATAAATGGAATTTCATCTGTTGCCTTGGAAAAGCAAAATAGGAGAGGAAAGGACCATTTAATGCAGGTACAGAAAGAAAGAAAATGTCTAAAACAGTATAGCCATTTAAACAGAAGCTTTTTTAGATAAAGTCAGAGGATGAAAACATTTACAAAAAGGAAATTGTGCCCTTTATTTTACAGCTATGAATATGTTCTTGTGAGACAGTCTATAAAAATCCTTTTTAAGAGATGTGAACATCAAAAGTCTAATGTCTGCCATAGAATGTACTCTTTAATTCTAAATAAATTGGTCACCAGGAATAACTACTGTATATCCAAAATGGCATCCATCTATGAATCTAGAAAATATATGAATTGACTTTTACTTTGTCAGACAAGAATCTTCTTTCCGTCTTGTCTTTTTTTCTCCCAATGGTAAATAAATCAACAATGCTCAAGCTGGGCGTGGTGGCTCATGCCTGTAATCCTAGCACTCTGGGAGGCTGAGGCAGGTGGATCACTCAAGGTCAGGAGTTCAAAAACAGCCTGAGCAAGAGTGAGACACCGCCTCTACTATAAATAGAAAGAAATTAATTGGCCAACTAAAAATATATAGAAAACATTAGCCGGGCATGGTGGTGCATGCCTGTAGTTCCAGCTACTCAGGAGGCTGACACAAAAGGATTGCTTGAGCCCAGGAGTTTGAGGTTGCTGTGAGCTAGGCTGACGCCACGGCACTCTAGCCTGGGCAACAGACTCTGACTCAAAAAAAAAAAAAAAAAAAAGCTCATAAGTTCCTTATCTTAAACAGTGAATATGAGATATTTATTACTGGTATAATGGTTTGCATAACCACTAGCTATGTTGCAAAGAAAGATTGTTTACTATTCTCTGTTTCTATTAAGGATAGGATTAAAGAAAATGGATTTACAAGGAGAAGCAAAGCTCAGGCCCAAGGAAGCACTCTTGTCAGAGAAAACTGTTAGACACTGGAATAGATTAGCAAGAGAGGTTATATATTCGCTTTTGTTGTAGATTTCTAAAAAAAAGATGAATTTAAGTCTGGCTACGTTGTGGATTTCTAATGATAGTTGTAAATGTGGGAAAACCACCAACTATATTTACTAAGACAAACTATATTATCTACCTTCCAACAAATATTGCTTGCTCATGTTACTTTTTAAAAAATGTAATTCAGGTATTAACATCAAGCTTAGGATACACAAGAATATATTCAACGTACAGTGCAGTGACTGCAAAAGCAAACAACATGATACAATCGATGGCGATTTTCTCCATCACAATGTAATCAGAATAGCACCAACAATTTGAACACTGGTGCAGCAGGTTTAAATATGGTATGGACATCAGAGCCAAAAGAAAAAAAAAAAAAACTTTCCTTCAGTGCAACACTCAACCGCCTGCTAAATTCCTTATTCCTATAAATTTTGGCCAATTCTGAGAGCCAAGCTGTCTTAGATGAGGTCATGTCTCATAGTCATTAAGCAAAGAGCAGTGCATCACATAATGTTGGTTATGCATGTAATTTTAGCATTGAGCTTAGATCCATGATTACTCAATCAATCAATAAGTGTTTTTATTTCATGGAAAGTATGTGAAGTATGCAATAAATAATCGAACTCAACTTTCCTCAGAAATCTTAAATATAGTTGAGAGGAAAAGGTTATATACTCAAATATGTTGCCAATAATAGACAATGGAGCATTTCCTCATATGTTTTTTCCATGATCTAAAAGTGGTACTATTTTTCATCATCTTTTTTCATGATACTATTATAGAGAAGAAATATCTGAATAAGTCTACATGGAAAGTCAATGTTTTAATATTATTATTAGTACACGTGTATGTAATTGTCTTTCCACAAAAAACTATGAGCTCTTTGAATTAAGACAGTGTGTTTTAAATAGTCTCACATCTCCCACAACACCTACAACAGTTCCTTCAAATAGCAGCTGTTCAAAAAGTATTTGTTGACTAATTATGGCCATAAGCTTATTCCAAAACAAATATGTAACACTATAATGCTCGCCATTTTACAACTATGAAGCATGAACTGAATACTACTGACACATAAAGGAAGTTTGGCCAACTTCAGAATAAAATATATTAATCTCATACAAATTAAGAAGATATATTTCAATGTAAGAGGCTCTGAGACTTAGGATTTAATTATTTTTTACATCCTGTGAGAAGGGGTTAGTGCATGCATGCACGTGTCCTGTCTGAAACCAGAGAACTGAGCCAATCGATGTTTCAAATCCCTTTCTAACCACAAGTCTGTGATCTTTTTTTACTGCTGAAGTTCATTGAAAGAGGAGTTGTACATGAACAAGAAATACCCTAAATGTAAGATTAAAAAAAAAAAAGAAAGAAAACAAAAGTCTGCTTCAAGCTGAATTCAGAACTCAAATTTCATCCAACCCAAATCCTTTGAAATAGCCAGAGCAATATGTTTCATTTTATTTATTCTTTCTCAAGACCTACAATGTAAAGTAGACATAAAAGATGCACTTTGCCGAATCAGTTCAAAACAATTCCTCCCTAACTTGTTTACAAAAGTAGCTGAAGGGGGAAAAAGCTTCCTTCAGAATCAGGGTGATTGAAAGCATGTCTCATACGAGAAAATTATTTACTCTTGAACTTGTCTTAAGTGTGAGGCATCACCACTAAAGAACAAATGAATTTGTCTACAAAAGATTCCCTGTAACAAATGGAATGGTCACGTGATGTTGTTCCTTTTCTCTTTTTGCTTTTAGCAGCTTTCTATAAGTGGTTTTCAGGCATAGTGACATGTTTTGTTTTCCTTCTACTTCTCTCTTTGCGAAAGGCACTTTAAGGCACTCACCATTGCAAGCTAATGTTCATTTTATGACATTGTTCCTGGTAATCAATCTTACATGGATGAGCACGTTTCACTCAGATCATATCCCATTTGGTTCATTCAAAAAAGCAAAACTTTTATCCTTGTTAGTCTTCATTTTTCCTTTAAATTCTACTTCCCTGATTTTCTTTCTCATACCTCTACTTACTTCCTCGATTTCATACTGCTGCTTTTAAAATTTAATGTCTTCTCCAGTGCATACAATGTTCCTTGTTTCAAAGATGCAAGCCTGAGCACTTTGGCCCTTTTTTATTTCAGAGTGTGTTCATTCCAGTGTGTTGCAGAGTTTGAGGCAGCCTTGAGGACTATAACCAAATCTCACATGGTGCAATGCATTGTTCATTCATAAGCAGCGGTTTTAGAGGCTCATTCTTTTGCCTAAGGCACAAACATAAGCAATTTGTGTCACCTCCTGTCCCTTTCTCTTTACCTGGAAGGAAGAGACGTGGCAGACATGAAGGACATCTAAAGCAGATGATAAAGATTTGGAAGAAATTATCCGTTATCCTAAGTGTTACTCCATAACCACCCGATACCCTACCCTTCTCATCCTCAACTCCTCCACTCCCTCCCCACCATCCCAGAGGAAAGGAGAATTATACCTGTGTTATGGACTGAGTCGTATCTGCCCAAAATTCATACGTTGAAGCTTCCCATAAATCAGAATGTGACTGAGGTATTGTGACTGTGAGGTAATGTGACTGTGTATTTGGAATGAGGGTCTTTAAAGAGGTAATTAAGTTAAAGTTTAATCCCATACAACTTGTGTCCTTTGTGTTTTGTTGTTGCTGTTGTTGTTTGTTTTGTTTTGTTTTGTTTTGTTTGAGACAGAGTCTTGCTGTGTTGCCCAGGCTAGAGTGGCCCATGGTGTCAGCCTAGCTCACAGCAACCTCAAACTCCTGGGGCTCAAGCGATCCTCCCACCTCAGCCTCCCACAGTGCTAGGATTACAGGTGTGAGCCACTGCGCCCAGCCCTACTTGTGTCCTTATAAAAAGGGGAAATTTAGACACAGATAGGCATAGAAGGAAGACCATATGAAGACATAGAGAAAAAGCAGCCATCTACAAGCCAAGAAGAGAGGCCTCAGAAGAAACCAACCCTGCCACCATCCTGATCTTGGACTTCTAGACTCCAGAACTGTGAGAATATTAATTTCTTTTATTTAAGCCACTCAATCCATGGTAATTTGTTAGGCAGCCCTAACAAACTAATTCAGCCTAGCATAGTCTCTTCTGATTGGTTAGTGCTCTTGCCAGGCTAAGTATTTTTAATAGCCTCCCTGGTTGAAGCAAAACAGTTACATATTTAGAGGCAGAGCATAGGAAAGTCCTTCTCCCCAGAAAAGCACATTTTCAGAGCAGAGAGTTCACAGATGGAATCTTTTTTACATAGTGGCTCTCCCTAATGGAGTCTTTGAGCCATGCCTTATAAAAGGACTTTGAACCTGCTGTACAGGCCACCTGGAGGTTCTTGGCCTTCATTAGAATAAGAGAGCAAACAAATGTTCCAGAATCTAAGCAAAAGTATTGTGTAGGAACCAGGAGTGTACATTTAACTTCAAAATAGGGTAATAATAGTTTTGATATCCTAGGATCATTGGGAGAATTAAATGAGATAATGTGTAATATACTAAACACAGTGTCTTTAATACCCATTACACTTTTAATAAATACTATTATGTGAAATAGAGCACAGATCCAGTTAATGAAGTATTGATTTTGAGCTATAAAAGCAGGTATTTTCTGAGTTGATGGCTAATGGATTTTTCTTTCTTGAGGAACTTTCTGACAACAAAAATGGATCTGTTGGTATTTAAATTTCAGGGTATGATGAAAAGAATGATTTCTGGGGATAGATTTTATTCTGGTAGTTCTGGTATAATTCTGTAGCATTTTCTTGGAATTTCACTAAAGAAATTTAATCAATAAGACCCAAATTTATCTAATTTGGACTATGTCCATTCACCAGGTTCCCATTAACACCAAAATTTTTTCCCCAAATAGAAATATCCATAAATAGGCAGAAAACAATTTTTTAATTTATTGAGATTGTTCTATTATTTAAATGATTTAGCATTTCATGAAAATGCACTTAACTAGAACCAATTATATCACTTACATAGCTGAAAATAAGTTAGAATTATAATAGTGTCTGGCCTTTCACAGACATTCAATAGATTTATCTCATTTAAGGATTTCAAAACACATAATTATGGAGGTGTGTTGCTCATCTGCTCCAATTTCCTTATTTATCAAATGAGACACTAAAACAACACCAAAATGGTCAATGCCAGGGCAAAGCACACACAGGAACCCGTATCTCTGGATGTGTAATCCGGGGCTCTTCCTCTCCTATACAGGGCTGTCTTCAGTGGCATTATCCTGTTTCAAAGGGACAGAAACACATTTAATAGTTTAGCCAAAGATTTAGCTTCACAACTAAGCATTATAATCTGAACTGACACCCCTGTGTCTGGGCTGGGCTCTCGGTCTCTCACCTGACTTGAACACGTGTCTCACCTATCTTCTGTGGCCATCTTCTCCAGGAAACTGTCCCTGATTAGCTAGGCTGGGCTGAGTGCCCCCTTCATATCTGGGCTCACCTTTCTGCCTTAGCATTCAGGTTCAGACACTCCGGCTCCACGTGGTGCCTCCTCCTGCATCCCATTCCAGATTGTTTCCCAGCCTGCATCGTCCTCAGCGTGTGTCCTCCCCTCAGCCTAGTCTCCCCAGCCTCTACCCTCCCTTAGTCTGTACCCCGACTTTTATTCTCCCCTCAGCCTGCATCATGCCCCAGCCTGTATCTCCCTCAGTTCGATCCACTCCCCAGTCTGTACCCGCCTGTCAACCCAAATAAATGACTGAGGCAAAGATCTCAATCAATGGAGGCTTATTAAGCCAAGATTTTGAGGATGTGCCCAGGGAAAACATGAACCACAGACAAGCTGTGGTTGTTTTTCTGAATGGGAGGTTGAAACCTTCAGCATTTTAAAGGCATACAGACAGAAAAGGACAGAGGCACAGGAGAGGGGCTGATGAGGCAGTGGCTACAGTCTTGTGAGGCCCAAGAAATCCATATTTTACTTAAAATAAGGGAGTGAAGGAAGCATGAATTGTGTACACGTCCCTGGGTAGGTGGAAGAATGTCTGCTTGTGTCTTGTTTCCGATTCTGGTGCCTGTAAAATAAACGTGTAATTCATTATGAGTGTGGCATGGATAAACCTTAGTTTTAGGCGCTAGACATAGGTACAGTTTGCATGTCCTTGCTTATGGGAGGTTAGCAGGAAATTTCCTAAATGAATGATCTATGGGGCAGATCAGAGGTGCCCCATGACTCAGTGATTTTCTTTTTATGTAACTCAGCTTGTATCCTCCCCAACCTCTTCTCCCTCCAGCCTGTATCACTCCCCACCTAGTGGGCCCCCAGCCTGCATCTCTTTGTGAAGGGCAGAATTCCAAGATGCCCCCCAAAGACTCCTGGCCCCCTACATGCATACAACTTCTCCCAGGAATTCAGTCCAACGCGAATCTAGGTGCTGCTGTGAAGGGACTTTGCAGATGTCACTTAGGTCCCAAATCAGTTGAATTTAAGTTGGAGAGCTTATCTGGTAGATCTGGCCTATCACGTGAGCCCTTTAAATCTGGGTCTAGACGTTAGAAACAAAGACTGGAAGCGTGACAGGAGGTGCGGAGCGGGCACGTGGCAAGGGACTACAGCGCCCTCTGGTGGCTCAGAGTGCCCTGCCCAATGGGGGGGGGGTTCCTTCTGCAATCACAGGGACTGCATTATTCCGACAACCCTGTGAGTTTAGGAGGACCCTGAGCTCCAGAAAGGAACACAGCCCAGCCGACACCTTGATTTTAGCCTTGTGATATACTCAGTGGAGAACTCAGCCACCATGTCTGGATTTCTGTCCTACATCACTGCGAATAATAAATGGTGGTGTCTTAAGTCGTGTAATTTGTTACATAACAACAGAAAATTAATGCAACACCTGCGCAGCCTGTGCTCCCCAGTCCATAGCCCCTCAGTCTATATCCCGCAGCCTGTGTCACCCCCAGCCTGAACTCCCCGGGGATATATCTCCCCGGCTTGAATCCTCTCCCGGCCTGCACCACCCCTCCCAGCACGCATCCTCGTGGCCTGTGTTCCTCCTCCCAGCTTGTACCATCCCCCGCCTGAATGCCCCCCACTTACCCACAGCTTATCATATACCCCCCATCGGTCCCGTCTGTCTCTCTCTCTCGCACATCCGTCGCTAGCATCCATCGCTGCCACCGCCACCCACCACCTGCCCAGCGCAGCACCGGGCGGGACTCTGCCCAGGGAGCCCACCAGTCCAGTTCGCAGTCTGCAGTACCAGATGGAAAGCCTGTCTCCCTTCCAAGACTGGTGAGCAGGACGGGGCGACCCAAAAGGAAAATGTAGACTCTTCTCCTCTGCTCCCTTGAGCCTCAAGCCAAGCCATGAGGCGCCAGTCGGCCCTGCTTCCTGTGCTCCCAGCTCTGCACCAGTTTCCCTGCGCTCTAGAATCAGCCGCCGCCCCCAGCCGGCCGAGGCACTCCCTTTCCAAGGGAAATGAAACGGGCCCCAAATCAACTGGCCAAATACTTTCATCTCTCCTCTCTGAGGACCTAAAAGTCCCTTTTCTGCATGAGTATTGTTGACATCCTCCCATCCATTATCCACCCCGAGTCTAGAGCTAATCATTCTTTTCTCTCCTTTGGGATGTTTTCCATCTGTGCTATCCCACAACTTACATTTGCATGATGGTGCTTTTCTCAGTTACGTATTCCTCCATAATTATCCTTGTATCTGAACCAGAACTTTCTCTGAGGTGGTTGGGATGAGTGGCGTAAGTAGCCAATTACCTACTGTAGCAAACATTAGGTGAAGACAGAACATCTGCATAAAAGGATACATAACTTTCCATATAAATATTAATTTATGTATACAGCATATGTATAATAAAACAACAGCCCTACAAGGCACCGTTATTACACCTGTTTCATAGATGGGGAAATTGAGGCTCAGAGAGGTTAAGCAAGTTGTCTAAAGCAAACACAGCAAACAAGCATCAGAGCTGGGATGCCAACTCAGGCAGTCTGGCTCCACAGCCCATCCCCTTATCCACTCTGCTGAACACATAAAAGGTGTCAGGATCACTGTGCTAATTAAGGTATATGCATAATTTATGGTGAGAGAGGAACAGGAGAGAATGTGGAGAAAACTGCGCTAAAATGATCAGGATAATGTGCGCAGAGAAAGTGGGGCTTGAGCTAACAAAATAGGAAAATTAGGATTCAGACAAGGGCATTCAGGTTGGGGAATGGAATGAACTAGGCACAGGAGTAGGGCATTCATGGTCTGGTATGTAATTTGTATAGGGGAGTTATGAGAAATACGGCTGGGGAGAGAAGTAGAGACCAGACTGTAACTGCTTGAATGCCAGACCACATCATTTGGCCTTAATTATAAGGCAATAGGGACACTTAGTAATGTTTTTGAGCAAGTGGGTGGAGAGAGGAGAGAGACAGCTGAATATGATGACCAACTACACTTGGGAGATAAAGAGAAGAAGAAATAAAATAGTAATCCAAGATTTAGTGCTTGTGTGACTAGAATAATTTTAGTTTTAATAATAGAAATTGATTATATTTGGAAATAACATTTGTCTCCATGCAACAGTTACACATATAATTGGTCTTTAAACTCTGCTGGGATGGAAATGGCATTCTGCCTTCTCCATAAAGCAATATAGGAAAAATTTGATTAGGACCAGACAAGTATGAAGAGTTAATAGAATCATCAGAATCTTACAGATTCTCTTTTCCCTGTACAAAAATTTTAAAAGTTTAGCTGTACTAGGGCATTTGAGCAACAAACCAGTCACCCTCTGCAGTAGTACCCCTCCTAAATAGAATGTTATGTAGCTTTGAAATGATTCCAGACATGTGCATAGTTTGCTACAGGAATGACATGCTTTGCTGTGGTAGGAATGTGGAATGCAGTTCGCCTCCCTGTAAGAATGTTATGTCATACCTTATCAAATCACATATGTAAGTTATTGGCCTCAACTACTGGACCCCAAAACACATATAAACCTAAGATTTGGACAAATCAAGAGTTCAGATTGTGGCAGGGCTACTCTCCGTCAGCCTCAGAGCTATTCTCCAACGCCTCGCCAACCAGCGCTGGTGCCTCTTGCGAGCGTCAGGGACCTGGCCTGCTGCAGAGCTCTGCTGTGTTGGTCGAACTGTCTCTGCCCAGAACCTCTTGTAGAAAGGTGCGCATCAAGCTTTGATTAGACTCTACATCCACAGAGGCCTGCTTCCAGCTGGACTTTAATAATAGACCCTAAACAAAGTTAGAACTCACTATGTGGCTGATGTACCTCGTTCATCAAGTGCACTCCCTGTGGGATTCGTTCTCCTTACTCGCCCCCTCTTTCAGCATTGTGGAAAAGGAAACCAAAACTCTGTGTGGCAATAAACTGTGTGATTCATGAAATCATACTTCAATCATCCCCTTATTTTAACCATGCAAAACATAGGACAAATGAGGAATTCCATTCCAGAGCTCCTTTCTTGGCCTCTATTTATATTGAGCAGGTGAAAAGCAGGTTTCTGCTGACAATGGGATCAAAGCAGGTTGGATGTGTTAAGGGTGTAGGAAATATTGTTTTTAAATAGTTATGTATCATCATAGGTCATCATTATATAACCTCCAGCTCTTTTAGCTATTTCTTTGTTTTTTGTTTTTTGTTTTTTGGTTTTTTTTTGAGACAGAGTCTCGCTTTGTTGCCCAGGCTAGAGTGAGTGCCATGGCATCAGCCTGGCTCACAGCAACCTCAATCTCCGGGGCTCAGCGATCCTACTGCCTCAGCCTCTCGAGTAGCTGGGACTACAGACATGCGCCACCATGCCCGGCTAATTTTTTGTATATATATATTTTTAGTTGGTCAATTAATTTATTTCTATTTTTTTTTGCTAGAGACGGGGTCTTGCTCAGGCTGGTTTCGAACTCCTGACCTTGAGCAATCCGCCAGCCTCAGCCTCCCAAAGTGCTAGGATTACAGGCATGAGCCACCACGCCCGGCTATTTCTTTGTTTTGAAGTGTTGTTAGGAGTTTAGTTGCTATGAATATGCAGTCTGTAAGACATACTTTAACCTTTCTTCCTCCACAAAGGGACTTAACAATAAATGAATCACGCCAGCACTGGTACACCTTGCAAATACTCAAACAAAGCAGGAGCGGTGTCTGGTGTCCTCCAGCACTGCCTGGCGTGGGAGAGTTGAATGGAAGAGGGACACGGCAGAAAGGAAGCAGGGGAGCCTGAAAGCTGCCACGCAGCTCCTACCTCCACGACCACAGGACAGTCCAGACTTGCATGATAAAGCCGCAAGCAGAAACTGCAGAGCCGGTTCGACATACACTTTAGTCTTGCAATCCACCTTGAGCAAGTTGCCTTACCTCTCTTTGTCATATCCTTATTTTTAAAAAAAGTTAAAAATAATCTCTTCTGTTAAGTGCCATCTGCTAAACACCTCGCACAGCACCCGAAACATTAAGGAGACCCATAATAGCTACTTCTTCTCCCTTGCCCTCAGTGGGCTGCAGGAAGCAGGAAACAGCAGGGATAAGGGGGTATTTTGACAGGCATCCAGGCAGAGCCCAGAACCGAGGAATCCACAAGACAAATAAATCGTGGAGTATCCAGCTGTGGCCAGGTGCCTCCACAGATGGCCTGCAGCCTGCTGGGATAGACCCTCAGGGTGGAGTGTTCCTGGGAAGGCAGGTGGAGTCAGAAGTGGAGGCCCAGAGGAAGCACCAAACCCCTGGAGATCCCACGTGGAGAAGAAAGGGAATGTAAATGGCAGGTATGAATAATAAGGAAAGATATGGGAATGGAGAAAGATTGGGGAATAGAGTGGTCTTGAAGGTGAGTGCTTTCAGTAAAAAATACTGAGCCAAGACAGAAAAACCTTTGTCCTGAGAGCAAGATTCAGATCCAGACTCCCCTGAGAAAACTGGAGAGAAAAGGACAGGGGTTTGGCGGCAAAGCAAAGACACAGTTATCAAAACTGGGATAGAAAATGGGAGCAAGGTCAGAGCTGGGTGACAAGATCAGATGGGGAGGAACAGCTGCCACTTGGTGCTGAGTCACTGCGACCTGATGCTGAGTCATCAGAAGATTGACCCTCTGATTGGTCTCCAGGCCTGCGGCAGGGCTAAGTGTGCAGATGGAAGTGTGGAGCCCTCAGCTGTGAGCTGGGAGAGACTGTGAGAGCAGGAATCTAGCTTGGTGTTAAAAGGGCAAAGATTCCACAGAATCTTGCAGTTAGGAGCTCTCCAGCTAATAGCAGAAGACAAATTCTCTTCACTGTTTTCAGAGGATATGAACAAATACCTAATAACAATACTTCTGTTCTTTTACTTCACACTCACTTTGGGGGACTTATTAAAAATAGTGTTTCCGGCCCACCGCAGACTTAGCAAATTAGAATCTTTATGGGTGGGGACAAATCAGTTGGATTAGGTGGATCTGATGCAAACTAAAATTAGACTGTTAGATTCTAAACTTCAGAAGACACTCTTCCTCACCTGGATTCTGATTTTACATATCGAGGCCTGCCTTAATTGGCAGTCTCTCCTCTCACTCTTTCTAGAAAGTCACTAGCCTCTAATAACCATATGAGTCTCAGACTTTGACATAGGTTTGTGTGTGTTTGCTGAAATATACATAACATAAAATATCCCATTTTAACCAGTTTTAAGTGTGAAATTCAGTGGCATTAATTATTTTGTGCAACCATCACAACTCTGTATTTTCTTTTTCATCACCTCTAACAGAAACTCTGTACCCACTAAACAAGAACTCCCCATTTTCCCTACCTCTGGCCCTTGGTAACTTTTAAACTACTTTCTGCCTGTATGAACTTAACCTATTCTAGATATTTCATAAAAGTGGAATCATCTAATATTTGTTCTTTTGTGTCTAGCTTGTGTCACCTAGCATAATGTTTTCAAGGTCTATCCACATTGTAGCATGTATCACAATTTAATTTCTTTGTATAGCTAAATAATATTCCCTGGTAGGTATACACCACATTTTATCCATTCATCTTTTAATGGACATTTGGGCGTTTCCACCTTTTGGCTATTGTAAATAAGGCTGCTATGTGCATTGGTGTGTAAGTATCTGCTGGAGCCATTGTTTTCAATTATTTTGAGTACATAGACAAGAGTGGTTGCATGGTAATTCTATAGCTACCTTTTTGAGGAACTGCCAAACTGTTTTTCACAGCAGCTGTACCATTTTGTATTCCTATACCTAATGTATGAGGGCTTCAATTCTCCATGTCCTCAAAAACACTTGTTATTTTTCATTTTTTATCATAATAATAGTCATCATAGTAGGTGTGAGATGCTATCTTATAGTTTTGCTTTGCATTTCCCCAGAGATTAATGATGTTAACATCTTTTCATGTGGTTATTGACCATTTGTTTGTCTTCTTTGGAAAAAACATTTATTTGAGTCCTTTGTCCATTTAAAAATTGGGTTGTTTGTCTTTTTGCTGTTGAGTTGTAGTTCTTTATATATTTTAGATATTAAACCCTTATCAGATATATGATTAGCAAATAGTTTTGTTCTTTTACTGTCTTTATAATGTCCTTTGATGCACAAAAGTTTTTAATTTTGATGAAATCCAATTTATCTATTTGTTCTTTTGTTGCTTGTGCTTTTGGTGTCATATTAAGAATCCATCAGCAAATCCAGTGATAATTGTAATAATTTACCCCTATGTTTTCTTCTAAGAGTTTTATGAGTTTATCCCTTTTAGTTTGGTTGTTGATCCACTTGG